AAAAAATAACGATATATTCTTGTTAAAAAAAATTAGAAGCTTCTTTTTTTAAACGTTTTCTCTCTCTCAACCCGTTTGTAATTTTACTAGTTATATTGCTAATCTCACATATTTTTATTGGACTTTGAAGAGATTTAAATAAATCTGAAATTTTAATATTATTAATAACTACGATAATATAATAAACAATAGCGGCTTATAACAGATTCATTAATATGCTCTACATGATACCTTATTCTTTTTCTGAAAAGATAATAATTTTATATTAATAAATGAATAATATGATATTAATATGAGATATTCCTTTTTGATTCTCATTATATTAACCATTATTATAAATAAGAATTTCTTACTTACATCATGTGCAAAGTTTTATATATATATATATATCTATACATACATATAATATTGAAATACGTGTACGATTTTTGTATTATAAAATTATATTTATGTGATTTTATTGTTTTCTGAATTATATTAATCTTCTGATAAGTTTTTTTATTATTTTATATAGTTATATTATGTATTTTTAAAATTATGTATGCTTCGGTGCGCATTCGAAGTTTCAATAAAAAATAATTTCCTGATTGCCAGTAATTCGCTGAACTATTCAAAAACGCTTCGAGAACGATTCCTCGCAGCTGCGAGAAAACATTCCGGCGAAAGTTTGCAGCTAAAGTTGGAGGAGATTCGTCTTCAGCGAATAAACTTCCTTAAGGAGATCTTCCTTTTAACTTTTGACTTTTCGAACACTTTCTTCAACGTAATAAATATTTGTGTGCATATTTAATGTAAAAACGAAGTCTATGATTCTTCGAATATTTTTATTGAAAGGAGTAAAAAAAATATTTCTAAAGATCTAGATAGTATTTAAAATTAAGAGAAGTGCAATTTACATGAAATGAATTCCTTACAGATCTATTTAAACTATAAACTATCTAGGCTTTACATAGTTTTTTTACTGTTATCACTTATATCTTTCTTTTTCTTCAAGAGCATTTATATTTCGATATCATATTTTCTCCTGTATTCATTTCGACTCGTCTGACATTCCTTGCGTTTTATTCTGTCACGCTCTTCGTTTTTTTCCTTCGAAAAGTCCCACTTTTCGGTAACAAGCGCCAAACCGCGCAGCATAGAGGCGATTAAAGCTGTTTTTCCGAAGGGTCAAAAGAAGTCGTTTGTTGTCATTGTGTTACCGCAGAAAAGGAGTCGACAAGAGAAAGAAAATTGAAAAGAAAGAGAGAAAGAGAAGATACTGAAGCGGCCCAGAATGGTCTAGGCAAGAGAAAGGGGTTGGGAAAACACGAAACACGATTCGTCGTTTTTACAGACAATCCGTTCGTAAAACTTCCACCGGAATTCGATTTGAAATTTTCTGTTATCTCATTTGTATTTTTTTATTCAATGAATTGTCCATTTGCCACCATAGCTGGACGTTCAACGAGCTGGATAATCTGGCGATATATCGTCGAACATCAGCGATAACCGCAGCGATAACGTAATGAACGATTTATTTGCAGGGCTCTTTTCAGATTCCATTTGCAAATTTGCATCTAATTGTAAGATTTATATTGGAACGGTTATTTTAAATGTGAATCTTTTTCTTCTTTCTATAGGATTTAAAAATAATTTTTAAATTGTGTGACATTTTATTTTCGTTTTTTAGAAATTTAATAAAATTTATTCTTTCCATCAAAATTTTCAAAAAAGATTTAAAAAATGTCAAAGAAAAGATCTCGACATAATGTTTTCTTATATTACATGTTATTGTAAATATATTAAACAAAATAAGCATTTTAAAATACTGAAACTTAAAAATTAATAAATTAAATTATTGAAAAATAAAGATATTATACGAATGGCATGATTAAAGTTTTACTAAATAATTGCCTTCAAAAACCATCGTCTTACTGCATGTTTGATATTTGCTGGTAAACAGTCAATTTTAATGGAATCGATATGCTTTTTGAGGAAAAAAAGATATAACGATCGAGGATTGCTCTCGCGAATATAGTTTGTTAGAATAATCGAGGTACGATCACTGTTACTGCAATTCGAGATTGACGCAGCTTACGAACGGGTAATTAATACGAACGGTAGTGCAATTATATACGCTGGTACATTAATTCGGCGTAACGCTCGCGCTGACAAACCGGCGGTGCAGCGGGCGAATCAATATTTTATTCGTAATTTGTCACTCGCTCAGTCGTTCTCGTTACATTCGCTGTCTGTGTGTGTTAAATACGCGCACATGTGCACGTGAATTTAACGACCAACCACGGAGTGGGCGCAATACGCGATTACCATTCAGGCAAGAATTAGTTGCAATAAATCAATCCGAAAGGCGCGAGATTTTTTCCGATGGATAGAACACAATAGCACCCGTATTGCAAAATAAAAAGAATCAAATTGTGGGAATTCACCGAGAAAGACTCGATCCCAAGTTTTCTCCTTTTATTATTTTCATTTTAAAGTTCGTAAAACCTAATTGAATTATATGTAGAATAAAACTGAAAAATTCCATGAAGATCGGAAAAGAGAATAAGCATCAAATAAAAGATTCAGAAGAAAATGTAATAGAAATTTCTATCTAATTTTATGAAATACTTACATAAAAAAAAATCGTAGCTTTATCATTGATTAATAAAATCGTTAATAATTTTTGTTATGAAATATTCTACATATCATAATTTAATTATTTCTGTAACAAGATATATAATTTTTTATTACATCTTTTCTGGAACGATATTTTTCCTTTTCTGACATTAATAATAAACCATACATTGATACAAAAGCTTGTAATTTACAAACTCAATTGAATTTTTATGACGTGCATTCATTTTCTTCTAACCAAGCGATTTTCCACGATTAAGTACGTTATATTCAAATTGTTTGAAAAAGAAATTGGCTGGAGAGAGGAGAGAGTGACACTGACACTAGTCTCAAATGAAATACGAATACTCTCGAGAACACGACTCGAATAGTCTGTGATTCGTATCGCGATTTCTATATTGAGGTCGCTCAATTAAGCTTCTCTCTCTCTCGCAAGCGGCGGCTTTGTATAAAGGGTGAATCCGGCAGGGTCTAATGCTAGCGTTTCCAGGGGTAATTTATAGTCAGCCATTGTACTTCGAATGGCTCTCTCCTGGTATCACCGAGGATACCAGTGAACGGAAAGGAGAGAAAGAGACAGGAAGACGCAAGCGGGGCGGAGAAGCATATAACAACGGGATGAGCAACAGGAGAGTAAAGGAGGCAGAATCGACCATTGCGGATATGTCTGACGGGTTGAAGGGTTGCAGGGGGTGCGAGAAGACCGGGGAAAAGGGAATAGTAGCTGGCTGGCTTCTACTGGCAACTCGATGGCATCGCGTATTGTTTCCCATTCTACTTACTTTATGATCTCTCGCTTCTTTTCGCTTTACTTCGTTTTACTTGCGCGAGCGCACTCAAATGTACGTATTCGCGTATCCGTGTACTTGCAGTCGTCTCAGTGTCTTCATCGAATTAACGATGTCTAAGTATGATGATACGCAAAGCTATCACAAAGCTATCAAATAGTCATAAATAGATTTATAATCCACGTTTTCATTATAGTTCAATGTTTTATCTGAACTTTTGCTTCGCGCAACTGAAAATTTACAATTGATCTAATTAATAATAAGAAAGACTTGACAAACTACACAATCATTTAGAGCACATAAAGTTGACGTCAAAATCTGATAAATATAATTATTAACGTTGGCTCGATGCGGCTTATTTATTAATTTATGTTGACTAAAAGACACTAATTAATTTCAAGAAATTGAAATGACTCTAAAAAAAATGAATACTAAGTTTATTTTAGTAACAATAATTCAAATATACAGATGCAACAAAAAGAATAGAATTTTGAATAAGAGTTCAATAAATCGTCAATTGCGGAGAATTAATATGTATTGTATGATATTTGAGTTCCTAGGAAGAACACAAAATCATAATAAGATCAAATAGAAGTCATTTTAAAAACAATTAGAATGATGTCATTCGCTTACACTTTTGATAATGATTTTGTGATGAATTCTTCACATGATAAAATCAAAATTTTTAAATGATTTTTCAACTAAAAAATCAAAATTTAAAATTCTTAACTTCGCATAAAATCATCAAAAGTGTACGATTGATATCATTATAATTTTTCCTAAAATGATTTCTACTTAATTAGTATCAACTCGATCTTATTATGATTTTATGTTCTTTCTGAGTTATAAAAAAAATTAATAGTATGGGACGATATACGGCAATAAATGATTCGATCTACAATACAAATTATCAGTGACAATCGAGAATCAATGAAAGAGCTGAAGCCCTATTTTTTAATAAGTGAACTGAATAAAATGAATTAATAAATATGCTGTATTGCAAAAGAAATCTACCATTTTTATTAGTACAATATCAAAAAAATGTATAAATATTAGCTCGTATAAATATGAATATTATAAAAGAAGATCGATATTTGTGTGAAAATTAGTAGTAGAAGTCATCACTACAGTCAGACAATCGGACATCTGCGCTCCGATTATGAATATGAATGAGCGCGACGCGCGAAGCCATGAAACCGGTGAAACAGTGAGATACACGTGGTGATGTTTGCGTTTTCATATCTGACGCACGAGCGGTAATTGTCGATGCCATATAGCTTCTTTAATTCGTAGATGAGTCAGAGGATGTTGATATGCAGTCAACAAATTATCTCCAGTTGACACTGGCGATACTCAAGCCGCACGTCGTTAAATCCCCGTTCGTTCTTCAGGTATAAATCTAACCTCACTTTCACTGAGTGAGAATGCAGGTTAGGCTTCGAAGGATAACTGAAGGAACAATACAATTCCGCGAGTAACGTCGAGGGAATGAAATTTGGAAAATTTAATGACTAAAGTTCGTACTGATTTTTCAGAAAATTCGCGATTTAATAATTGACAATAATTTCAAAGTTGTCAGATCGCGCAGAACGACGATATCTTACGAGGAAGCCGAATTATTTTACAAGGAGCACAAGGATAAATTCTTCTACAATCGTCTCTTAACTTTCATGTGCAGCGGTCCATCAGACATTTACATTCTGGCGCATCACGACGCTATCGCAAAGTGGCGTCAGCTGATGGGTCCTACAAAAGTTTATCAAGCGCAATATAATGCACAAGATACTATCAGAGGGATGTTTGGTCTCTCGGATACTAGAAATGCCACGCACGGATCTGGTAATCAGTCATAATATCGCACATTTCAATGGAATGCATTAATAAAAAATTGTATTGATAAAAAAGAGACACTAATGCTATTCACTTTAGATTCGACTGAATCCGCAAAAAGAGAAATAATGATATTCTTTAAAGACTTTAACATAAACAAGTGGTACAGCAGTGAGGAAATATTTTATAACTTGGGAAAATTACATTTCGATCCAATGTCCTTTGTGCACACCATTGACAAGACTGAACAAGACACAAAATAATGATGTACAACATTAACATATTAAATAAAATATTTATTATTTATTATTTTTAATAAATGATATATTCCTATCTACACAATTGCTAGCAAAATTCAAACTGTGCTTGTATGAAAATAGTATTTATTGTATTTTTTTCTGGGTTTGTAGAATTTTTTTAATGCTAGACGTCAATTGATCGAGCTAGTCAATCTTTCGTGTGTGTGTGTGTGTGTGTGTGTGTGTGTGTGTATGCGTGTGTGCGTGCACGCGCGCGCGTGTGTAAAATTGACTAGTTCAGTTAGATGAGTTAGACGAGAAATATACGATATTTTGGATTAAGACATGGACGCATACTCAACATTTCTACATACACATTGCATTTTAATCAAAACAACGTGATTATGCATTTATCTTCACGTAAACTTTTGGACGCGAAAATACTTTGATCCCCTCTTCCAGTTTATTCAATTGCTTCTCTATTTCCATCTTGCGTCTTTGTGCTCTAAGAGTATCCGTTTTTATAGGCATCATATTTAATTCATTGACGTACTCCTGATAATCTGCATTCCAAAAACATAATTCAGTGAATTTGAATATATAATAATTAAATATTAACATTTGAAGCAAATAATTTATGATTATTGTATAAATTTTATTATACCACAGATACACACTTTTTTTTAATAATCGTAACGTCTCCTTACGTTCATGATCAGGTAAAGGCACGTGACCCTCCGGACAATCAGAATGCAGTGTTTTTGCTTTAGCCTTTTGTTCCTTTTCTTGTGCTTCCTTTCTATCTCGAAGATATCTATTTAAAAAAATTATTGGAAAAAAGAAAAATAAGTTAATTTCATTTTCTGATTTAATATTTACATCATAATCAATTATATAATTTTCTATTATTAGTACATCGCATTGTATATTTCCTACATTTTATTTTTCTTATAATCGCATCTATATATAATATATTAGATGTAATAAAAAGAAATCCATTATTTTTGCATGAAATTGAATGGAAAAATAATGGAATTTTTTTACTACACCTAGTATAAGAAAATCTAATATAAGAATAATATAAGAACAATATAAGAAGAGAGATTTTTTTTTAGTTTCATAGTATATCTAAGTAAAATATTTTAAGAAAATGTATACTACAATGTAAAAAAATTGAATAGAAAAAATAATACAAAGAAAGAAATTAGGCTGTATTTTATTTAGACGCTGTCATTATATCTTTATTGCTCTTTATGCAAAAGAAAGATAAAATGAAATTTACAGTGTGAGGATCTAAATTAAATACAAGCTTAATATAACATCAAGGAAAATTAGAGAAGAAAAATAGTCGCAATATCCTACTTAGGCAAAACTCCCTTGCGATAATTCGGAGGTGGTACACCATTGTTAAGTTGTGTTATCAGTTTATTGGCAACAGAGGTACGTTCTTTATTTAATTTGATAAAATTGACTTCCTCTTTAGATGCCGGCGACATGGAATTTTGTAAGTCAGTTTTCTGTAAATTTTCCGAATTATGCATATCACCTCTGTCTGCAGGTGAATCAGATTGTTTCCTCAAATTTTTCTCTTCTTGTTTATTTAAATCACCATTGTTTGCTATTTTGTGCTTTGTAACCTTCTTTGATGGATATCTATTGAAAAAAAATTAAAAAAACGATCTGTAGATAAAATCTCGCTTGCTAACATTATTAATTCTTTTATTAATAAATTAGTAATTAAATTAGAAAATTAATCAATTAAAAATTATTTAAAGTAAATATCAATTACAGATAAAATGAATTAAATGTATTGAAAATTATAATATATATGTTTCCAAGATCTTTCTTTAATTCTATTCTAATCTAATATTATTATCAATTTAGAATTGAACTTTATATAATAGGTTTCAAATACACTTACCGAATAATACCTTCAGAGTATATACTTTCCAATTGATCTATATCTAAAGTCTGAATTCCCTGACTTCTGTACTTAACAGTGCTTTGTGCATCCAAACATTCTAAACCATTTGCACTGTCAGATTTATGCAATACATTTGATTCAGATGAAACCTTTGGTTGCAATCTCTGCTGACTGTTATGTTTACCAGTTCTCTTTTGTTTGCTCGACACATTATTATTCATTCCTGGTCCAATAATCTTTTTGGTAGAAACAGCATCCTTTTTATCATACTCAAATACATTGATCCTATTCTGAGCTTGTTCATCAATTTCCACTTTGTCATTTGACACTCCCTCAACATTAAAATAGTTCTCATTTTTCTTCTTGTCTCGGAAGGTAGTGATCACCTTTGCAGATACATTCTGGTACTTGTCTGTACTCCTTTGATGCTTGTGTAATTGTAACTTTTCTAATTCTTCCAGCTCTTTATTCGCTTGGAAGCATTGTTCCATTCGTCGCAGGTTTTTTACATTTTCTTGAATAAAATTCTTCCTTCTCACTGGTTCTAATATTCAACAAACAAAAAATTCAACATTATTAATTATTTCTCGTGTGCACCCAAATTTATTCAATTATTTCTTTCTATTTCAAACATTTTATTCGTATATTATGAGATAAAATCTATTCTTTCGAGCTTCTAAACAATCGTTGGATTAAAGATATATTACTTACTAGGGTCTGGAAAAATGCCCTTCAATGTTGTTACTTTCATTTTCTTGAAACAAGAACGGTATATTATCACTCTGCTACATTTATAATTTACATTTCGGAAAAAGGCACCGGTTTCAAAACATACAATTGATGTCTCTTTACCGCATAATTTTCGTTTTACGCATACGTCGTTTTCCGGCCGTTACCACATAAACAATTTTGTTTACGTATCGGATGATAGCTGCGTATAACCCCTAATCTGTCAAAATATAGTATTGCCAACATCAAGCGTAAAACAATTTATTGTAGGTCGGTCAGGAAATATTTTTATCGACGGATGGTTATGGAGGGATGTCTACTTTTCAGCTAATTTTTTACTTTGTAAATTTTATTTTTTTCTTTTTACTTAAACTTAAATCATCAATACATATTATTTTTATACGAGATTTTGTATAATAAAAAAATGCAATTATTGTAATTATTATAACAATACGACGATAACAATAGTACAATATACGTAGTACATAATAATAACAGTAATACCGACAACTGGTACAATTTGATATGAATTTTTTAAAATTGAATTAAAGTGTAATAAAACTGATTAAAAATAATTTAATAATGAAAACATCTACAGGAAAGTTATTCTAATAATAAATGGTATATAAAATTTTAAATAAACTATAAAGATAACTTTTTATTTTATTTTAAGAAAATAAAACTGTTTAAAAATATTATAATTTTAATATCTATTTAGATATACTTTTGTCACATATTAAATAAAATTTAAGAACTTTAATCTGCGATTTTCTCAAAGAATAGTTTATTTCTAGAAATAAATAAAAAATGAACAAGTTTTTAGTATTTTTCGCACTTTTATTATTTACAAATGTAAGTATTAAAAAAAAAGGATTACAATAAGTAATAATATTTATTGATCTTTTTATATGGGTGACAAATGTTGTACTATTTATTAGGTATTTTTAATTTAAATTTTACGGACGAGATTGACATCATAATAATACTATAGACTGAATGAGTAGGTAGATAGAATTAATGCTATTATTATATGTGTTATTTATCTTGCATAAAAAAACTGCAAAATATATCCATATGTATAAATAGAATTACAATAATTAATATTCATATGTATGAATAGAATTACATTAATAATATTATTTTGCAGTTTTAATATTTTAATTAAAATGAATAATATCTATAAATAATATGTATAATTTTATAAAGTAACTTTTTATGAAATATAATTGATTATGAATAATTTTATAAAGCAACTTTTGATGAAATATAATTGATTCTAATACCCAAAAGTTAACTGTCTTTTTTTGTGTTTACAATATTACAGTGATTTGAAAAGAAACAAAAGCGTTACATAATCTTATTTATTAAACAATTAAAATGCGATAAATTCGGGCATTTATTTTTACTTATCTATTTAATTTTAATATAATATTATATTGTACATTTTTATTGTCGTGTGGAATATTGAACAGTAAGATATCGCTGCACTTATTAGCTGTAATGTGAATTATACTTTGTTTTATATGTTACATATCTCACATGATATATTTTATATATTTTATAATAGCTAATACATTTCTTACTGATGCAAAGCAATTTAGAGATGCTACAAATAATCCGCCGATACGCAGGTCGAAAGCTTTATTGTCTATTTGTAATAGAAATAATATCATTTTCTGTATGTGTAATGGTGCTATATATCAATGAACATTATGAACAAATGATCGGATAATTAATGGATAACTCGAGAAATGTAGAAAAGATATATTTCTTTTTACTAGCAACAATTATTACATATTAAACTGTTTCTTACGCGGTGATAAAAATATGTGATTATTATGATCCGTAATTTCTTGTCCAGCATAGTTCGCTAAAAACATGTATAAAAGAGTGATAATTACAATTATGAAGTGCAATATGGTTTCTTCCTTGTCGTTTACAACTTATATAGTCTATAATAAAAAAAATCTAAAATAGCAATGAAATATCAATACACATTTGTTTTAGTAACATTCTAATGTAAATTACATTCTAAATTTCTGATGGGCAGTGAAATCTCACTCCAAGAAAGTGAAAACAATCACCCTTTATTTCTTGAAAAAGAGTGACAATTTTTACTTTTTTTTAGAGTGAATTTTCATTTCAATCATGATAAATCATTCATGATAAAACATATCTTACATTTTGTAAAGTGAGATTTTATTCCTTTAAAAGGAAAATTCATTTTAAAAGGAATGAAAATTGTAACTTTTTTTTCAAGAAGTGAAATATTTTCATTTTTTTTCAAGGGTGATTGTATTTTCACTTTCTTGGAATGAGATTTCATTGCAAGAAATTTAAAGTGTAGTTGACAAGATGCTAATAAGAAAAT